AAAAAACCAAAAAAAAAAAAAAAAGAAAGAAAGAAAGAAAGAAAGAAAGAAAGAAAGAAAGAAAGAAAGAAAAACCCTTTAGGTAAGTGTATTATAAGAAGCAGATGACCAGAAACTGTAAAATAAGCCCACTTGGCAGTTAAATGAACTAGATTCAGCATAATTCCTTTAGGTAAGTGTACTATAAGAAGCAGATGACCAGACACTGTAAAATAAGCCCACTTGGCAGTTAAATGAACTAGATTCAGCATAATCTCTATCAAAATTCTAATGGAATTCTTCATTGAACTAGAAAAAAAAATCCTGAAATTTATATGGAAGCAGAAGACCCAGAATAGCAAAACTGGATATCCACATGTGGAAGTGTGAAGTAGACCCCTGCTTTTCATCCCACATGAGAATAATCCCAAAGTGGATGAGGTTGTAGCCTCCTGAAACTCTGAGACTTCAAGAGGAACACTGAGGGATGACACCTCAAGATACAAATGTAGGCAGGTCTGACTGAGTGGGACTCCAGTAGCTCAGGAAACCAGCACGAACAGATGAATGGGATTGCAGGAATTAAAAGCGATTCTCCACAGCAAAGGAAACAATCACCAGAGTGAAGAAACAGCCTGTAGAATGGGAGAAATCCATCTGACAAGATAAATGCTCAGAATACACAACAACAAAATTAAACAACCCACAAATAAGTAGGCAAATGAGCTGGACACACAGCTGAAAAAGGAGAGAAATGCAAATGGCCAATAAACATATGAAAAATTACTCAGTGTCTTCAACTGTGAGGGAAATTCAAGCCAGCACTATGCTGAGAGTCCATCTCTTCCCAGTCAGAGAGGCTGACACCAAGAAAAGGAATGACAGCCAACGCTGGTGTGGTCAGGGAAAGAGGAACTTTATCCACTGCTGCTGGGAATGCAGGTCATTCTAGCCACTGTGACCAAGGGACTTCCATACGGCTCAGCTACGCCCTCCTGGTGTACACCAAAGGGCTCTGAGTCAGCAAGCCACAGAAGCACTTGACAACTGTGGTTACTGCAACAGTGTTCATAATAACCAGGGTAGAGAACCAGCCCAAAATCCCATCAATGGATGAATTTTATTTTTATTATCTTATTTATTTTTTGAGGCAGGGTTTCATTATGTAGACTTGGATGGCCTGGAACTCACTATGTAGACCAGGTTAGCCTTGAACTCATATCGGTCTGCCTGCCTCTGCCTCCTGAGTTCTGAATTAAAGGTGTGTGCCCCAATGCCCAGTTCAGTGGATGAATTTTAAAGAAAATATGGTACATACACACACAATGGTGCATGATTTACCCATTGTTTACCCATAAATAAGAATGGAATTGTAGTTTTATTTTCTGTAAGGATGTGTTTTATATATTATTTTAAAAACCTTTATTTGTGTGTTTGTGCAAGTGTGTGTGTGTGTGTGTGTGTGTGTGTGTGTGTGTGTGTAGAAGGGGGAGGGACTGTGTGGGTAGAGAGAGGGTAGCTGGGTGTATGCGAACAGAGCAAATATATACACATATGATGATCTCACAATGAAACAGAGTATTGGTATTTTTTAAAGGTTTTATTTTATTTATGTCTATGTGTTTGTTTATATGTGCATGTATGCTATATGTGCATGGGTGCCCGCAGAGATCAGCAGAGGGCATAGGATCCCCTGGGGATTGTGAATACCTGGTGTGGGTGCTGAGAACCGAACTGTGTCCTCTACAAGAGCTCTTAACTGCTGAGCTATCTCTCCAGCCCCCTCATTATTTTCTAAAATTAATATAGACCCATAAAAAGGAAGTTAAATGAAGAGGGCTTGGAGTGAGGCATTTCAGAAGCCTCAGGGCTATAGTCAGGGTTATAGTTATAGTTCTGCTCATTCTCTCATTCACTCCCATCCTGTCTCCTGTCATCCTAGGCCAGATGTTGGGCTATTGGGGCCTTTCAAGGACCTAGTAGCGTAGCTGCACCGATGTGGGGCATATGTTCTTACAGGTACAGTCCAGCTGCCTGGTTTCCCCAGGCTGTGTTCCCACTACAGTCTGGGGTTCCAGCCATCTTCTTGTTTCTTCCAGGGAGGTGCCTATGTTTGGCCTGGAGGCCATCTGGAGAAACGGCCAAGTGGTGGGCCATGTTCGGAGGGCTGACTTCGGGTTTACTGTGAACAAAACCATCGCTTATGGCTACATCCGAGACCCCAGTGGTGGGCCGGTAAGCCCTGTTTCCTCTCCCTTTCCAGGCTCCACACCAGGCTCCTCTGACCATACCTGAGCATGCTGGGAACACAGGAGGAAGGAAGCCAGGAAGGGTGGAGGCGTGTCCAGTCCTGGTCTTCAGCAGCACCTTGCCCGTTTTTCTCTTTTATCTCCAAAAGAAACTGACTGGGGCAGCCCCAGGATTTTCTTGATCAAAAAGAGTTGTAGGGTCTGGGACAACATTCTCTGGTCCTAGAGGCTAACGGACCATCTCTGCCCTTCCTCCTCACCCCATCTCCCTCAACCCCAAGAAGTGAGCCAACCCCAGGCTGCAGATGCTGAGGCAGCCCCGACACCCACAGGAGGGTACGAGCTATGTCTCCAGGAGGAAAGGGGTAACCTTTACCTCTTCCAGTTTTCCAGCCATGAGTATAGAGGTGTAATGAGTAGTGACATTTATTATCATACCATCTTTGCCCAAGTCTCACTGAGGTCGCCTGTGCCCCAACTCCAGTCCCAGAGATGGTGACTTGGCTCTGTCTTCTAGCCTGACACCAAGACACGTTGAACCACAGTGTGACTGAATGGAGGGAGGGAGTACCAGGCTGGGGAAGGAGCAAGGACAAGTGGCTACCATGGGGCCTGAGGGGTCCTCTGACTTCTGGAGCTCAGCTGGATGTGGCTGAAGGTAGAAAAGTGCTCTGTGCTAGAGCTGGAGGCTTAGGGCACAGGCTTAGTTTGAGGCTGTGTTTTTTTTCTTGTTCTGTGAACATGGACCAGGGGTTTCTCTACGATCCTAAGCTTTTCCTATAAAAAGAGCATGGGCGTCCACCCTCCAGTATGGACCACCATAATGAGTGGAACTTAACTGACAGTCATCAAATGTTGCAAACCAGCCTGGGACCTGTGGTGGCTGCACAGGACCTTCTTAACACTGAGAGGCCTCAACCTGGGTCCCAGCCAAGGCAAAATTAGAAGTTCGCTTACTGGTGCCCAGTCTTAGTGGGAAGAGGAGAACCCACAGCCTTTTCTATCAAAGATCAATGCCACCCACCCTTCCCACGCTTTCTTGGGTTTCTGATAAACAGAACCCAGGAGACCCAGCATAAATCCCACACAGGCAAGGAACCCGACACTGAAGGTGATCAAAGGAATGAGAAGCTTATGTCCCACTGCTGTGATCAAGCTTCTGGAATGAATATTCATGCCATGAGAGTGGGCAGATGCTGCAAACCAACTTATCAGTGCTCTGGTGGGATAACCCACATTTCTAAGAAAGACTAAGGAGTGGTGGGGGGCAGGGAACAGGATTCTGTGGCACGTGGGTGTTTATCAGCTGTACTGGGCTAGTCCCAGAACACCCTGCTGAAATCTACCAGCCTCCCAGTCATGCAGGGAAGTACATACACAGAGGGTTCACCCCTAAAGATCCTGTGGCTTAAAAAGCCGTTTTGCCTTTTTCTATTTCTTATCCAGTCCTGAGCCACCTGGAAGGAGGGAGAACAAGCCCCAGACACTTCCAGCCTGGGCCTGGAGTCCTCATTGTACACAAAGAAACAGCTCCTTGGGTGGCCTGGGAATGTTTCTCCCTCCAGCACAGTAGAGTGTCAGGCTATTGCACTCTCCCTTGTCGGAGGAGCACCTGCTCCCAGAGCTAACAGCTCCAGCACTTGCCAAGAAGAGGGAGGGCACAGGGGCTTTGCTGTCCAGAAAGCTGTTCCGTCCACCCTGTCCCTCAGGATAGCATGTCTGGCCACTGGCCCCTGCCCTATAATAATGATGTGTTTGTCTGGCTTTAAAACCACCCAGGCTCCTGTCTGAGCCCCATCTTCCCAGGCAGCTTGGAACAGGTCACAGGAACAGGTCGTGCTGAGGGAGAGGTCTTGCTGGCTACTGGGGCTGAGCTTTGCTGGGCTCAGATATTCCTGTCTGGCTCATGGGCACAGGGCACATAATCTGCTCTTCTAGGGAGCTCCAGAGGGCTTGGGACAGGGGTTGACTTATCGGAGAGTTAGGGATGGGGAACCCTAGACCACCCTCAGTAACAACTGAGTGACCTTGATTCCCTCTGCTCCTAGGTCTCTCTGGACTTTGTGAAGAGTGGAGAGTATGCCTTGGAGAGAATGGGGGTCACCTATCCTGCCCAGGTTCACCTGAAATCTCCCTTTGACCCTGACAACAAGCGGGTGAAGGGCATCTACTGATGTGCTGCAGGGTAGAGGCTACCGCTGTTCAGGCCATTGGAAACCGCCACACTTCCCACACCCTGCCTGCCGACTCCTGTACTGCACAAATGCCCTGTGTCCCGAGACCCAGGATACAGGCAAAACACAGCCTTCCCCACCCTTAGCCTCCATATGATCCTGCAAACCATCCTAGCTCCTAAACAGGACTGATAAACCACGGAGTTCCTCCTGCTCATGGACCACACAGTGGCCTCCAATCCACCGTAGTGCTCCCAAAATGCACCCTACAGATGTCTTAGCTTAAGGCCCCTGTGAGTATCTCAGAAGATGTATGGCTTCCCCCCTGCTCCTCACTCTGGCATACTGGCAATGTGCAGCCTGAGCACTTGAAGAATAGTGAATCAGGGGACAGTGAGCAGGGATTGATGATCAATGTCTGCCACAGGGATAGAATGCAGAACACAGAGGTATGTGCTGGACTGGTGCAGCCCTTCCTCAGGATGGCTGCCTTTCACACCAGAGAGGAGATGGGTATTACAAAGTTCTTGCCTTAACCTTCCAGTTCAGCAGGAGAGAAAGCTGTCTGAGAGTCGCCCCCTGTGATATGGAGGGAACATGGCTAGCCTCTGTCTCAGTTCCCCCTGAAGCATTGCTAGTGAGTCCAGGGACACCAGGCTTCTGTTGTGCACAGCCCTGCTGTGGTGCCCCTTTGCAAGGACTTGTCTCTATCACAGATGCACCCTGTTCACCCCACCTTTGGTGAAGGGAGTGGCTCCTGTCACCTCCTGAAACCACCTACACCTGCCTGCATGTCAGGAATGACCCTGTCTCTTCCTGGGGTGAATGTCTGTCACTTTTCTATAGACCCAGCCATTCTCTTCTGCCTCACACCCTGACTCAGAAATCAGGATGCTGTGACTGCCCGAACAAAGGTCACCATGTAGCCTTACATTTCCTGCCTTGTAGTCTAGGAGAGCAGGGGACAGATGCTGTGGTGGTACAGAGCTGGAGCCTCCTAAACCCGAAGAAGGCAGCAGAGGGGAAAGATGGGCACAGTTGTCCTGGGTGGGCTCTGACTCTTCACAGGCTCACACACCACACACTGAGCTGGAAAAGGACAAGCTAATAAAATTGAAAGCATGGGAAGATGTGTGGGGTATACTTGGCCTTTCAAAAGTGGATCTGGTCCCCTGAGTCTGGGGCCTGGCTGGAGGCGGGAGGGTGTGGAAGAACCTCTGGATGACTGAAGGAACACCTGTGGTCTCCGGAGACACAGTGCTGGCTCTTGGATGACATGAGTTTTGTGGAGCCAGAGGAGAGAAGAGGGGAGGAATGAGAAGGGAGAGTGGGGAAGAAGGGGAGGGGGTTAAAGAAGAGGAGGGAGGGGAGGGGAGGAGAGGGAGGAAGAGGAAGGAGGGAAGGCAGCTGCCAAGATTGCCCAGCCTTCCCTCCCCAATTCTGTGGTCTGGCTAAGACCCCCGGGTTGGGTCAATGACCACATGTAGCTCACAACCTGTCCTTGGGGATAGCTCAGGACAAGGGAGGTCTGAGTGCTTTCCCAGCCTAACTCTCAGACTTCACGTGCCTTTCCCATGCCTGCCTGACTCCCCCATGCACAGTCCTTGGAAGGGTGTTGGGTCCCTGAGTGAGAGCAGCTGTCAAGAATCACCTCCCAAGTTCATCTGGAAAGTCCCTGAAGTGCCTTTGCCCAGGGCACCCCATCCTGGATGGATCACAGAGACCTCAGCCTGGCTTCCTGCACTGCCAATCTAGAGGCACCTTTCATAGCTATATTTTAAAACTTCTTTTCTCTGGAAAATGAAGTGCGATGGCCCCCGCTGTGGCTGAGCATTGCCGACCAGAAGTCATTGGAAAACGGATGTGAAAATGCGTGAAGTATGGAGAGCAGTGTGGAGCAGGCAGTGGAAGGAGATGATGGGGTCTTGATACCCTCAGATGCCTCACTGAGATACAACAGTGTTGGGGTTCAGAGGTTTCTGGGTGGAGCTGTCACTGCAGAGGTCAGAGAGACAGGCACACCCACACAGGCTTGCTGCCCCTGTCCTGGTCTCTGTTACCCTGAGCAATGTTTTCTTCAGGGCTGGAGAGACGGCTCTTAGGTAAGGTGCTTGGCCTGTAAGCTTGAGGACCTGAGCTTGAATCCCCAGTACCCAAGTAAACCCCTGATGTGGTGGCACATTTCTGTAACTCTAGCACTGGGGATGGAGGAGGACTCAGAGACAGGCAGATCTCCAGAGCTTGCTGGCCACACCAGCCTAGCCAATTGATGAGACCCAGGTTTAATGAGAGACCCTGTCTCAAGCAATGAGGATGAAGGTGACAGGAAGACAGAAGACATCAACTTCTGGCCTCTGCCTATATGTGTTCACACGTGCTTGCATACCCTCTTGTATAAGGACACACACATTGAGAGAGAATGCCAGGCCAGCATACCACACCACATGCCTTCCAGCATGAGACGGAGCTCCATCCAGCCTGGCTGAGCATATGCATTTAGCTTATCTCTACCCCATGGGAACTCAGAGGCCAGAGGGATTGCCAAGGACAACCCAAGTGACAGCCCTGTCACTCTTAAGGGTAAGAGAGAGCAGGCAGGCAAATGGTTCGGGTCTCTGGGAAATGAGCTGGAAAAAGCTCATGGACAGAGCCAAGGCCTTTTGAGTCCCTCTAGGCCCAACCTGTATGTGGGCAGAGGGAACTAGGCTGTTCCTGTGGTGGGTGAGAGGCAGACAATGGTGGGCATCTGTGAAGGGCATCAGAGGATGGCTAACTCAAGCTGTTACACATCAGGTGGCCATCCTGTCAAGATGCAAAATGGACAGTATGTTCCCTGACTTCCTGCTGGTCCAGTTACTCCTGCAAGTTGTGGATCCCAACAGGTCAAATAGCCCTGAATACCCCAGCATGTGGCCCCTCCCACCTTTGGTCACTTCCTACTTTCTTCCTTACTCTCCCTGCAGTCTTCAGTAAAGCAGTTTCCATGTAGACCTACTTAGCATCTAAACACCAAGCTTGGTCTCCCTGGGCACTGAGACTTCCACCAAAGACCTGATGGTGTCACTACCTGTGAGCAGGCACTTTGCATAGGTGCCCAGGTTCTTTGGTTCCCACTGCTAAGCAAACTACAGTGGCAGCCAACTCAGGGAGCTGTAGACAGCTGGCAAGCCCAGGAACTTGTGTATGCAAGCTCATGGAAACATCCTAGGAGGTCACTACAGCTCGTGGAGTGCCACAAGCTCTGTGCACTAGCTCTGCACTGGGTGCGAAGTCTCCACCTTCTGTATCACAGGTGGTGGGTGTCCTTTAGCCTCAAAGACAGGTCCTGCCCTAAGTGTCCCGCAGGAAATCCTGGCAGCTGTGTAGGTGGCTTTGTCCAGAGCCACTGATAATTGGTTTGCTGGGGTACCTGGAGAGAGGCTTGGGATTTTCAACCCATGATGGCCCTCTGAAGTTCACTTGGTGCCACAATCCCAAGCAGTTCTTCACAATGATTGGATGCTGTGTGGATGCCCCCATCCAGTGAGGCAGCTGTGAGTCACATAATATTGCTGAGCCCTGACATGGAAGAATGACACCAAAAGGGAACTGTAAGAATATAACCTCTCTTTGTGTGTGTGTGTGTGTGTGTGTGTATGTGTGTGTACACATGCATATATGTACATGCATACACAAGTGTATAGAGGTCAGAGGTCAACCTTGGGTTTTGTTCTTCAGTTGTCTACCTTGTTTTCTGAGATGCATGCATACACAAGTGTATAGAGGTCAGAGGTCAACCTTGGGTTTTGTTCTTCAGTTGTCTACCTTGTTTTCTGAGACAAGGCCTCTCACTGGGAACTGAGGCTCGCTGGGTTAGGCTAGGCTGACTCCCCCCAGCCCCAGTGCTAGAACTATAAATACATACCCTCACATGGGTTCTGGGGATTGAACTCAGGTCCTCACACTTGCATGACAAGTGCTGACAGAGCTGTGTCAGTTTTGAGACAGAGTATCATGTAGACCAAGCTGGCCTTGAACTCTGTTGTATAGCCAGGGATGACCTTGAATTTCTGATCCTCCTGCCTCTACTTCCCAAGTGCTGGGATAACAGATGTACTCAAGTAACTGCCCAATTTAATATGGTCCTAGGGATAGAAGCTAGGGCTTTGTGTATGGTAGGTTAAATGTTCTACTGACTGAACTACTTCCATAGCCTTGCTGCTTACCATTTTTTAATTAATCTAAATAAAAATTAAATAGCCACCAGAGACTGAGGGCTACCAGGTAGTACTGGTAGCTTGTCCCTGGCCTGGGGACACCCTACTTGTACCCAAGGCCCTCTCAATACTGTTAGAGAGTAGCACACTCCATCTGTTGGCACTTCCTAGGAGGTAACCGAGCCCTCTGCTCTATGGGATACCCAAGCCCGGCAAGGGAAAGAATATAACCAGTGAGGTGGGACTGGCTCACACTCAGGCCTTTTCTATCACCCCAATTCGGAAGAGGGGTATTCTGGAGACTGGTTTTAGCTTACAGCATGTGGGAGGGATGTGTTGCCCTTTGTTCTGCAGGGACCTTGTCACCTAACCCCAGGTCTCTGAGCCTCAGTTTTCTCAGCTGTCTAGAAGAGGCAAAGGGAATCCTTAAAGGCTTGGTTAGCTGATGGAGACCCCATATGCCTCAGCTGACAGTCGTAACAACACCCTGGCCTCCCTGGTGAGGCCTGTTGCCACAGAAGCAGGACAGTGTGCAGATGGCTTCCCTGGAGAAAGATCATGACAGCCTAGGGGGGATGCAAGGGACTGTGGGTCTGGATGTGTCACATGGGCAGCAGGCAGATCCTCTTGTAGTCCCTGGGCTGACCCATGAGCCTCAGTTTCTCTGTCTGTAAGTTGGCACATCACTAGGAGTAAAGTGACTGTGTTGAAGGTCAGGCTCCTCAGAGCTCCATGAGTCTTTCTTATACTCTCTGGCTACTTAGGCAGGCAGCCATAGAGGGAAGGCTCCACAGAGCTGTGGAGATGGCCTGCCTCCCCCATCTCTGAGGCTGTAAAGATGACAGAGGGCTGAGCGTTGCTCTGGGCTGTCAGACCTGGCATTTCACACCGATTACACCCATGACTTATGGGTACCTGGAGCCATGATTCATAGCACACAACGCAGAGAGTCTGGGCACCTTCTCTCCCCAGTAATAAAGTGCCTTGCTGAAGGGGAGGCAGCGCTTAGCTGGTGTCTGTGGTCATGGGGGACACAAAGCTCATCCATCACCCTCCCTGCCCGAGGAGCCTGGCCGGCATTTTGCTGAAATAGCTGAAAAGATCCCAGTCCCCATCTCCCTTCCAAAGCCATCAAAGAGCTGAGCTGGCCCTTAAACAGGAGATGAGGGAGAGAAGGATTCAGGGAGGGTAAAGGTGACTAGAATTAAAGAAGCAGACCTCACTCATATGGGGCAATATGTGTGACACTGTAGGGCCCAGAAAGTTTCAGCACCAGGAGCAGGAACATCGGCCCTGCCTAGGTGTCCACAGTTGGTGCCAGGTGAGGGTGAGTCTCATTTTACAGACAAGAAGACTGAGGGTCAGGCAGCTAATTGGCTTACCCTAGTCACTCCTTCATTAGAGCCTGGTCTGTCATCAGCAAGAGAAGTAATTGACTCTAATCATTCCATTCCCCCCACCCCCAGAGCCTGGCTCTAGCCATCTTGGCTTTCCATGGTGGAACTATTTGTTGGGGTTTCCCTCTAGGTGGGCAAAAATATCTATTTACTCTGCCGTGAATTGAGTTCCCCTGGTGAACTAGCTAAATGCCTTGTCCTGTCTTGTCGCAGGGAAGCCACCCACTGGGAAACATGAGCCACTCTGTAAAAAGATGTTTAAGCAGTACTGTCATGGCAAACACCAACACAAGTCACCATTGGAGGACCAACAGGGTGGGGACTGTGAGGCTTGGGGAATCTGGAGGCAGAGTAGGGCCTGCAATGCTGAATTGGGACCCTGTAGCAAATGGTCCCTACATGGAAGCCACAGTGTGTCCAGGTGGACCTCATGAGATGGTCTCAGTCATGCAGATGTCTCCAGGGTGACAAGCCCCTTCCTCCTAGGTGATCAGCACTATTCTATGAAGGGGAGTCTTCAAAAAGGGGTGCACAGCCCACAGGGACATCATGAGGAGGGGCTGAAGAACAGGCCCCTACTCAGCCCTGGCCCCAGTTGATGACGGTGGCGGGGCTAGTGCGGCTCACAGCCTGTCCATTTGGGCAGTTTGGGGTGCGGTCTTTCAGTGTGGATGTGATCTCCGGCAGAGGCTGCAGATTCCACTCACCCTGTAAAGAAGGGACCAGGAGGGAAGCTGAGGCTGGAAGGGCCAGGCAGGGTGCTGTATCCCTAGCTGATTGGGTTCTTGTCCTTAAATTCATTTATCCCATGCTGAACACTTCCCACGTCCTCCAAGTCACCCTTTGAGGGTTACCACTTGAGGGTCCATGTCCTTTCTCAAGCTACTGGGTTCTCTGGTCAAGAACCTGAAGCCCTCCAGGCTTGTTCACCTCCATGCCTGCCCCTTCACTCAGCTGTATGCCCTGAGGAAGGGATCAGGATCCTGGTGGCAGGCTGTCATGTTAGACACTGTCCTCCAGCAAGGCTTTTTATAAAAGCTAAGATCTAGCCACATCCAGCAGCACCCCAGACTGCTCTGGGGTGAGAAAGCCACCCCATGGTATGGGTGTTTGGGTTAGCAATCAATCCAGTACCTAAATGCTGCCAGGAAAGGACTGTTCCCCTCCCCTGCCCTGTCCCCCCGCCAGCTGCTGCAGTGCCTGGCTCTCCTGCCTAATGCAGCAGGCTGGGTCTGCTGACCAACGCTCTGGGCTGGTACTGCTGCAGCTGGCTGGCTCTGCTGGGAAATAAATTAGGTGCCTTTGAATCCCAGCAGGACTCAGATAAAGAGGGAGAAGCAGGGCTGTGGGACTGTGAGGCTGGTATCACAGAACTCTGGCTTCTTTCCTACCCTTGCCCGTAGCTCTATTTTTATGCCCTGGGGAGATTGCTGGCACTTGATCACATACCACCCAGAAAAGCCTGAGGTTAGTTCCAGTTGCACAGTGCCCAGGAGAAGTGGCCTCCCTGGTCTTCCTGGCAGTATTGCTGACCCGTCCCCTTACCATCCATCCATCTGTCTGTCTGTCTGTCTCTATTACTATCTTGTTATTTTCTCCATCTCATGAGAGTGCTTCTTGTTTGTGGTTCAGGGTACTCCTGCTCAACCCATTGGGGTCCTTCTCAGGATCTGGGCAGACCTTGGGTTGGAGATTCAGGCAGCAGTGGGGCTTGTTGGGTATTGGATCGTGATGAGGAGTTCTGCATGTCTGCTGTGACTCACCACTCACTCCCATGCTGTCATACCTGGAAGCGGACAGCTGAGGTCTTGTTGCAATGCATGGAGATGGGGGCAAAGCGGTACAGAGCCTTGAGCATATCACGGTTGTAAGAGTTCCAGGGCACGGAGGTGAACTGCTCGGGGACAGAGGCCTGGGGACAGGTGCAGACCTCCTCATTGTTGAAACTGGAAGGAAAGACAGTTACTTGGTTTAAAGATATAGCAGAGGGAGGGAGACCCAGCATGGCTTCCAGTAGCTGCCCTTGTGTCACCTCCTCCACAGCCTTGCCTCCTCCATCCATTGCCTAAGAAGCTGTCCTGGTCCTGCTTCCATCTCTTATGTCAGCTTTGGTTGTTGACAATGGCTGTTCTGGGGATAGCTTGTAAGTCAGGAGACTGATTAGTGATACCTGCCACAGGCACCTCCAACGACACTTAGGTCTGATGGGATGCATGCTAACTTGACTCCAAGAACTTAGCTTAAATTCTTCATGAGGAGAGAGCATGGGGCAGGGTGCAGAGATTATCCATGCTGGGTTTCCCAGGGGCAGAAAGCAAGAAGCAACACTTCACCTGTTAACCTGGTGGAAGTATTTCTGGAGGTAGCCGTCATTCACAGCACTCTTGCAGAGCTCCAGCTCTGTCTGGGGGTAGTAGTGCACGTAGTTGACACACATCTCCTCCAAGATTCCAAAACCTCCCTGGAGGAGAGAAGATCCGTCAGCCCGCAGCACGTCACTCTCAACCGCTTGTCTGCCTGTAGCTTTCTCATGTCTGCTTATTACCCAGTGCATTCATCTGCTTACAGCAGGATGTGTGTCACCCAAGCCCCAAGGATGGAGCCAGGAGGGAGGTCACCTTCTCTGGCACCTGCTAGTGGCAGGAGAGATAGAGACCCAGTAAATAAGCATCAGAAGGTGATGGGAAAACAGAAACAGAGACAGAGCTTTGTTCTTGCCATACGGGCTAAAGCAACTAAGCCTTAGGGAATAGGGGACAAGTCCTGTGGTCTCCAGTGGGAGCAGACCTGCCTTCACATTGAAAACCTTTAGAGGTGCTAGCATCCTGGACAGTCTCCATTCCCCAGGCCACCCATCCACATCATGGAGGGACTGAGTAGGTGACATCCCCACCACTTACTTCCTGCTTGTAGATACAGTGAACTGTCCCTGATGGGAGGAGAAAGAAGCCCACAGTAGGGTCAAGAACCAGGCAGAGAGCCCAGACCAAGGCTCTCTCAGCATCGCTCCAGGATCCTGGCTCTTTGTGAACATGATGTGGGGAAGGAGATTTTATTTGGCTCGTCAGAACCGTGAAGGAAGAAAGGCCTTCACTACTTCATGGCAGACCACAATGATGGTGCAGAACTCGGCTGGCCCCTCGAGTGGAGGGAGACTGGGCTAGCTCTTTGGAGGTGTGGGAGAAGCAAGTTCACCAATAAGAAGTTGGCCTGGCCTCTGTGATCTATGGGTCTTCCTGTAGTGTTTACTTGTCATAAACTTTCATAGCCCTCAGTGGGCATGAGACTCCCCCACAATCTCCCGCTCGCCTAGTTCCAACACTTCAGAGATCAAGAATGAGAACAGGGCCTGAATGCCAGAGCAGATTTGCTTTCCCCTCCTCTCTCACTTTGGGAAGGAAGCTGCATTTCAAAGGCCACCATCTCTTTGGATCCACAGGTTGTCAGAACTAGGAAGCTCATGTCTGCCTTCTGGGAGCTCCTATTGCCTCCGATCCTAGATGGAGCCTCCCTAAGAGCTCATGAGGCTTAAATAGCCAAGGAGGAACTTTGTCTTTGGGTCTTTGACCTGAAGGCCTACAGTCTGAGATCTTAGGTGCTTTCTAGGCTGCAGCTACAAACACCCTGAGACAAGTAAGGCACTAGTTTGCAGCCTTGAAGCTGGCAAGACAGGAACACAGGCCTGGCAGAAACACCTCGGCAGAGCAGGCCTGGGGGCTCCCTTCTACCAATGGCTGGCAAGTGCCTCCCGCCCCCACCCATAGCAGCTGCAGCAAGGAGATGATGCTTATGAAGAAAGTACAGAGGGAAAATGCTTGCCTTAGAGACTGGGCGAGGGGACCTGGAGGTGACAGTTGTGGGTTGACTGTGTACTTGGATCTGTGAACATGCTTCCAGGCAATGAGCTGCACACTTCCCACACCCCAGCTGTGTGCTGTGGGAATCACCCCACAGTAAAGCTATTTGAAGAACACGTGAAACAGAATGAGGGACCCTGGACCTTGCAGGACCTTCCATGCAGAAGGCATGGAACCTTGTGCAAAGGATAGTGTTACACTATCGATGGGAGTTCCTGAGATGCAGGGGTGCCAGGGTGGGATGTAGCCCAAGGTCTGGCCCACTCAACGTCACAGGTGCTCAGGGATCAACTAAAAGGTCAGTGGGAGGGGCTGGAGAGATGGCTCAGTGGTTAAGAGCACTGGTTGCTCTTCCAGAGGACCTGGGTTCAATTCCAAGCATCCACATGGCAACTCACACCTGTCTGTAACTTCAGTTCCAGGGAATCTGAGATCTTCAGAACAATGCACATAAAATACAGTTAAATAAAATTTAAAAAGAGAGGTTAATGGCTGGGAATAGTAGTGACCTGAGACAACTATAGAAGTGTCCCTCTCCCTGCCCAATGTGTCCAAGATGGATGACACATTTCCTACACATCTCACCTTGAAGGTAGACCTTTGAGGTGCTCCTCCTCCTTGGACTAGCCACAGTCCAGCCAAAATAAGATCCATGCCATTTCTCTGGAGTGGCCAGCCATTCCCACCTGCCTGGTGCTGACCACATCTCCCTGTCACAACTGAACATCTCCCCACCCAGAAAACCTTTATCCTCTGGGGCTTCTGGCACACTCCCCTATGCAGAGCTCTTTTCCGTCTCTCCCTGGCCTCACATTCCTCCTGTCATCCCTGGGCGATGTCCTGGCTCTGGTGAAGTTTCTGTGACTTCACTTGCTTCTCCTGTAGCCTGTCTCCTCAGGCAGACTTTGAGTTCCACAGTGCTTCCTGGCTCCTTCCCATGGCAGAGAGATACTGTGCACATGTTGCCAATGAGAACTCACTGTAGTGTCTCTTAGAAGAGGCCCTGACAGTGTCACCTCCATGTCTGACTCAGTGGAGCCAGTGTAGAGCCCAGCAGGCTGCTTGGATAATAAGCCCTGGGGATCTGGGGGGAGGATTGCTGCAGATAGTGTCCAATCCATTTGAGAAAGGCAAGAGGAGCAGTCCTGTTTCTGTCAGGCCACACTCAACCACAGGAATGGTTAGAATTTTTTTTGAGACAGGGTTTCTCTGTGTAGCTTTGGAGCCCATCCTGGCACTCGCTCTGGAGACCAGGCTGGCCTCAAATTCACAGAGATCTGCCTACCTCTGCCTCCCGAGTGCTGGGATTAAAGGCATGCACCACCAACGCCTGGCCTGGTTAGAAATTTTTAACCAGACTCTGGGCCTTTCTCTTTCCTGCATGGGGGGCTAGAAAAGCCAGTGTGACTTACCACTGTGGCCAGCTTCTTGCCTTCTGTGTTGTACGTGCAAGAAGTGATGAGTACGTCCCCCTGAAGAGTGAGGTGACACACACATTAGCACCCGCCCACTCAGGGCTGACAGGTGTGCCCAGCTCATCATGATGACTAAGGCACTGTGATGTGTGATCTCCCATGAGGAGCCTAGAGCCCTCCCCAGTCAGGCTCTCGATCTAAGCACCCCTGGGGCTTATATCTATCAGTAGTTTGGCACCCTGACTGGCCATGTCAGAGCTCCTTGCATTGGCAAGGACTGTATCTTGGCACCCCCATTTCTCTCCAGCATTCTTAAGGAGTGAGACTCTGGTGAGACTGTAATTCAATTGAAATTAGAAGGCAATGTCCCTTCTGTACCATGAAGTCCACATGGACTTCACCCTAGGTCTGCTATGCCTGCCCGGGGACTCTCTCCTTCCCTACTTCTTTCTTTTTCTCTCTTTTGGGAACAGTGTTCTCCAGGTATCTCCTGCCACAGGCAGCTGTCCTGCTGGATACTCACCGGGAAGACAGACACAACCTTCTTCAGCATTCTGATCTCCTAGAGTGGGGAAGAGAGAAGCTGTAAGACAGCTGTGGGCCCTCCTATCACCCTGGGTAATCAGTTCTGCTTCCATCTCTCCAGAGAGTCAGGACTAAGTGTGTGCTCCAATCAGGAGGAGACAAGATCAATCAAGTTGTCACCAAGACATTGATGACACCCAGCAGCTTGGGCCAGGGTCCCCCACCAAAGGTCAGAGGACAGCTGTGGGAAACAGAAGGCCTGGGAGGCTGGTGACAGGCAGGTCCTCACCTGGAAGTGGGGGCTGTAGTGGTTGTCTCTGTTCACGACCATCCTCTCTTGGCCATCCCGGGCGAGCACAGTGACCACCTTCCTACCAGTCAGGTGTGTATGGAGCTGTGAGGCGAAGATGTGGATTCCAGAGGTTGGCAGTGCCTGTGGGAGGGGCAGAGTCAGACCCAGAGCAGAGGCAACATCCCTTGGCTTCACAGAACATTTGCTTTTTTCTGGATGATTCTCCCCAGAACTCTATTATAAACCTGTCAGAGAGTGGCTTGTTTGATAGCACTGTGGCCAGAAGCCCAAGACTTCGAAGCAGCAAGCCCCAGCCAGCAGCCAGACGTGAATGCATTCAGGGCAGATGGCACCCCTGTCCTTTGGTCTTCTTGGGGTGCCTGAAGACTGAATTCTCTTTTTCCTCAGCTAGCAGAGGCTGGACAGGACCTCCCTTCTCTGTGGGTTCTCTGTCAGTTATGTTCTGTAATTCCCACCATGTTCAGGGCCCCAACCAGGCCTTGGAGTGCCCAGTGCACAATAAGAGGCTGTATTCCCTCTGAGGTCACCGCGACCCTGGTCAACAGCAATGATGCTGGCCACTAAGCCAGTGGGGGAAAGATAGCCAGTCCTTGTGTGAGGAGGCTTCCCTTCCCCATAGAAGAATGAGGAAATCTTCCAGAGAACAGAAGTTTTCCTAAGCTGTCTTATAAAGATGATAAAGTTTTCTCAGACACATCATACGCATGGTGACTCTGCCACCTTTCTGCCACCGTGCCATGGTCCTCTGCTCCTTTGATGCCACCAGCCAGAACTGAAATCTTGGTATTGGCAGATGACAGTGGATGACTCTGGACTGCTGAGCTTTCTACAACTCTACTTCTGAACCTTCTGCCTTGCTTTGGCTGGCCACTGCCCCTGCCCTTTGCATTGTGGGTATCTTTAGTACTCTTGCAATGAAAAGCAGAGGCCTTCATGACTGCATCTGTGACAACATGTATGCTGGGCCAGGAACCATTGCTAATAAGCCAGGGATGCAGGTGTATGGTGGAATGTGGACACAGGTCTCAGAAGCCAGCATCCATTTTCTGACCTGTCTGTTTTGATTGGGGAGGGAGGTTGATTTCTCATCCTGGCCTCAGGCTAAAAAGTCTTTGACTGAGTATAAGAACCAATGTGTCCAGCATCTCAGCTGGAGATCATTGAGCCAGGCTAATCCTTGAAAGACCAGGTGATTGGGTAGTGAGGCCCCAAGAACAAGTGTCATACCGTGAGTATGCTGGCAGGGGGGATTCACTCTGAGCTCTGTGACAAAGCACCCTGGCTCCACAGTGCAGCTTTGGGAGTCTATGTCCTCTCTTGGGAGACCTGGATCATCCTATCTGTGACGCAGGCCTATCTACACTCCCCTGAAAGGTCACTGTAAAAAGCAGACGCCATCAGAGAACACAGGACACACAGCAGAGAGTGAAGTCACATCTGTGATAACAAAAGAGCCCCAGACAGTAAGGCCCATGGCAAACAGCCAGAGAGCCTTACAAGGGACAAGAGCAGTGTTAGCAGAGATGAGCAGAGGCTATGGACAACGGAGAGCTACAGGCCTGCCTCTCAATCCATGGAGGAATGCCACAACTGCCTATATCACGAGTGGGAAGGAATACAGACAGCCTAGAGAGGGTTCTGTGAGATCCCCACTGGTGGCTGTCCCTAACTTTACTAAGACCTGTGGCTCCTCTGGATCTCCATGGCAAGACATGCCTCACCAGATCCATTGCAGCTTCTTGCTAGGTGAGAGGTGAGCCCAGCCAAGATAGCATCCCAGCTGAGTACCCTGGAACAGGCTAGGAGCCACTACCTACTTACTGCAGAAGCCAAGGCCCCATCCGCTTTACTCTGCAGTGTCACCCTGTGTTTGCACAGCCTCAGGGACACTGGGCACTTTGCTGACTCCCCTAGTTCCGGCCTGGTAGTGAAACATGATATAATGGGGGCTGGGGAGCCTGTAAAAGGTGAATCTCATTTGGAAGTTTTGAGACTCCCATAACAAAAGAAGTTAAAACGTGCTGTGTGGGGTTACAGGAGAGATGGCTCAGCTGATAAGAGTGTTTGCTGCTCTTCCAAAGGACTTGGGTTTAGTTACCAGCTCCCTGGCCTTACAGGGGATCCAACACACACACACACACACACACACACACATCAAAATTTAAAAGTGGTGCATGGAGGTGTGGGTGCATGGGCATAGCCCAGTTCTTGCTTAGTGAGGGGGGTATAGAGACTCAGACAACCTTGATCCCAGGTCAGGGGTTCAAAACCCTCATGTTGCCCTCCCCTGGTCAGCGAAAACAGCAGGGCGTGTGTCAGAACCGGTCTGCTCACCAACATGGTGCACTTGTCTGTGCAGTAGCCAGTCAAGACAAACGCGGTCTCCTGAGGGGGGATGGCCATCACGGGTGTGTACACCAGGCCCAGCTCCATGATGCCTGCATTGAATTGCCGAAGAGTGGCTGTGTAGTATAGGCGAATGCCAGAGGAGTCACGCCGGCCTGGGGAAAAGGCATGCAGTAAGCAGCAGCTCATGAAACACCCCTGAGGGAACAGTGTGCTTGGTCACCCTTTCTGATTGATGAGAGCAAGAAAGGTCACCTGTCACCTCTATGGTAGTTTTCCATGGTAAGGACTATTGTTCCCATATACAGATGGAGAAACTGAAGCTGGAGGCTGAATGAAAGGTTCTACCTGAAACCAAAGTTCTGAGAAGCATTTGAACTGGGCTCCAAACCCAGGACCACTGGCTGGGAGGCAGGATGTTGCTGGCAGGCCCTGGCTATTTCTACTCATTGAATCTGAGGGTACCTCTTTTTTTTCTGTCTTCATCCCCTCAACTCCCCACCCCCACCCATGCCAACAATATCCAAGCTCAAACAGCCCCTTGTGTCTCTGGGCTGCTGACATCAGAGGCAAATAATAAAAAGAAGCAGCAATTGGTTAAAATTTAGATGGGGATTAAATAATGAGATAATCGTGGATTTTGATATTAATAGAAAAGCAGCCTGTCTCAAAATTCACCAACTGACAGGAGCACCCTTATATTTGGCAAAAGATCCATAAATACATGCAGACGATCAGAGAAGACAGACTTCCCTAATGCCCAAGGAGTTTTCAAAAATCCATTTGGTCTAAGGTTTTAAATGAGCAATAAATCCCCTGTGGTGCTAGGCCATAGCCGCCTCTCGCCTTCCCTGCACGCTGTAGATAATTCCTGTGGCAGCAGAGGCATTGCTTATACAGCCAGAGGGAAAGCCACTTGTGTCATTAAATTTGCACAACCAGTGTCCACATCCAGCTGGGAGCTGGGTGCAGGGGCTGCTCCAGTCTCACTATGGCCGCTGACTATGTCTGTCAGGCCCTTTCTGCTCCTTATTTGCATATGTGAAGATAAGTGTCATTCCCAAGGAAGGAGAAAGAGGGAGGGGGAGAGAAAGGGAAGGGGAGACATTTGTTGTAAAATGGGGTACAAGAGCAAAGAAATAGTTAGCTTCTGATGTGGTGTCCTCTGTCAATCCTTTAATGACCCACTCAGGTTGTTCACCTTCAGGCATGGGATGATCTAGCCGTAATGATGACTTCCTTTGTCCTTACCTGAGAATGTGCTATGCCTGCAAGATTGCTACTAAATGCCACCAAAATACCAATTACATCACATGGACCCTTTCACAAATCCTTACCCTTCTGTTGTATGCAAACACGAACAACACACACACACACACACACACACACACACACACACACACTTTGCCTCTCTTAGAAGCTCTTGGCAGCATGCATGGGTCTTGTTCACCTTGAGATCCCCTTGCCTAACTAACACAGTACTCTCAGGCCCAGCAGGCCACCCCTGCTTTTCTCCAGCTCTTTGCAGGCAGTGGAATACAGACAGGTGGGCAGGTGTGGTCCTGCCCTGGGCATTTCTAAGCTAACTGCACCACTTGTGCTGTCTAAACAAACTGGGGAAAGAACCTGGTCCAGAGCAGTTGGTGCCTGGCTGGATTGGTCACAGGCAGGGCCCTTGGCCTTCAGTATCTAAGGCCTGCTGTGGTGCCCTGGGAGGAAGTAGACTTGACATCCTGCCCACCCCATGGGATTTTAAAGGCCCAGTCTTCACTGAGTGTTTAGGTGCTAGACAGCATAGCACCAAGTCCTGCAATGGCAGACATCACTAATGAATCAGAGCCCTGGCTTGAGGGGATCACTCAGAATCCCAGACTGGGGACTCATTAGGCTGCTGACTACAAGAAAGTAGACAAAGAGCTTGTCTTGTCTTGTGTTGTCTCTGGAGCATGCATACGCCCTGTTTCCTTTCTGCTTGAGCAAGAGTCTCTGAGATGAAGTGGGGTCAGAAGATGCACCCTCTACCATCTTACCTTGTATGTTCCGTGGATTGTGATAGTGAACTTCGAGTCGGAGATACCGGGAAGACCCCTGGCCCCCAAAGGCAACACCAGCTTCCTCTGGGTAGTAAAATGCCTGTGTGGGATAGGGGTATCAGACAGAGGTCTTTTGGGGGGCCTGGGACAAACCTGAGCAGAAGTTGGTGATATCAACAAGTGGCTGGATTAGAAGGATGCTCTCCTGGAGCTAAGTAGCCTTTGCTGTCATACACAGACAGTCCTATCAGGAGGGCACTGAGCCTGGGCCCTCCAGTCCAGCCCTCATCATCCTCTGGCCTGGGGGAGGATAGGGGTTTGATGAGACTCTGCTACAGGCAGCCACAGGGTCATGCTTTGCACAGAACCCAGGTCTCTGCAGTGATACAGGAGCTGTAAGAGGCATACACTCACGGTGATATGCCTTCTCACAGAAGCCTGGAAGGAGCCTTTGTGGCCCCAAAGAACACCAAAGCTCAAGCATCCTGGAGTGACTGGGACTGTTTGGAGCCCACACTCTGTTGAGGGCCTTGTGCATCCCCTTTCTGTCCCTTTTTTCAGTCCTTTTAGGATGTGGTTTTGTGAAGATGGTGCAGGGTGTTGGGATCCTGAGGATGCCAAAGAAGGCCTGGGGAAGGCGCAATGGTGTCCTAAGTAACTTTAAACTGTCAAATTGACAAGGCCTAGAATCATTCTGACAGAATATCAGCTGTGGAATTATCCACATCAGATTGGCCTGTTGGAGTATCTATGAAGTTTGTCTGGATATAGGAGACCTTTTTTCAGTCCTTTTAGGATGTGGTTTTGTGAAGATGGTGCAGGGTGTTGGGATCCTGAGGATGCCAAAGAAGGCCTGGGGAAGGCGCAATGGTGTCCTAAGTAACTTTAAACTGTCAAATTGACAAGGCCTAGAATCATTCTGACAGAATATCAGCTGTGGAATTATCCACATCAGATTGGCCTGTTGGAGTATCTATGAAGTTTGTCTGGATATAGGAGGGCCAGCCTATGGGCTCATTTAGGTTTGTTTTGATTTTTTACTGATGTAGGAGGGCCAAGCCCACTGTGGGCAGTGCCATTCCCTGGACTGTGGAAGAAAGCTAACTTAGTACAAACTGTCCTGCACACCAACTAGAAAACAGCACCCTCCAGGATCCCTGCTGTACTTCCTTGGCTAGGAGCTCCTTGGTCAGAGGGGATGTACACAATATCAAGCAGGCCTGCTTTGACTTCCCTCAGTGATGGACTGTGACCTGGAAATGTAAGCCAAGTAAACGCTTTCCTCTCCTTATCACAACAACAGAAAGCAAACTGGAACAAACATATAGCAATACGCACAAACCTTGGCACCCAGGGCCCATGCAGCCAGCACGTGGCGACAGTAGTTGAGTCGGTCAGGCTTCATTTTGGAGTCACAGGGTCCATTGAAGAGGGGAAAGCTCTTAAACTCAGCTGCACATTGGAAGACTTCCATGTGGTGCACCAGAGCCTCATTACCCTCAGTGACAACGGCCTCATACTGCAGAGGAACAGAACACTCTGAGCCGGGAGCCCAGTACCTGCCTAACTTTCCCACTCTGCTGGGCCATCTGGTCCTCGTCTGCTCGGCTATAAATATAAATGAGAAGGGTAAGTAATGTAACTTCGGGTACTAAGGGCTACCATCCAGATCCAGGAGGTACCAGAACCCACGAAGAGCTCTGGGGAAGAAAGTGGAAACCCACATAGACTATTCCTGAAAAGGTGGAACTCGGAAGGCAGCTATCCTTGTGTGCGTGGGGTG